GACAATGATGTCAGGATAATTCATAAAAAAAGGATTAGAAAAATTTGTTGATTGATCATTATTTTAATTGATTTGTACTCCTGTATTAAATTTCTATTCCTAGTGTGTAATGTTGGCCAAAACAAGGAAGAAAAAAACAGTCCATGCATCTCTGCACACAAATTATCATGCAGAAATAAAGCAGAGGTACCTTAGTTAGTATCATGATTTAATCTCTGCACTACGTAGCATGACTTCAAATTCCCTTTCAAATAATCAATGCAAGTTATCTCCTTGAGAGCAAGATTTTTTTCGCGCTATTTTCTACAAAAAGAAAGGGTACAGAGAGGCTTCACTTTCTGTGGAAGGTAATCATAATTTAGATGGCAGCAACACGATTAGCTATACCAGTTAAAACGAGAAAAATTAAACAATGATACCTAGATCATACCCACTTTCCATGAGTGAACCACACCCTTTTATCAGCCAAACTCCATTGCATCTGAAAGACAGAATAATTAGAAGGTAAGTTGGTACATTACATGCAAACCATTAATTGATTACCACATATGGAGAAGGAATATCAAAGCCATACACAAACCTTTTAGCATTTGATATCACAAATGTTTCCAAGGATGGCAATTTTATCCAAACCCAATGGATACTGACCCAACCCGATTTGAATAAATAGGAAATTTTTTCACTTATCAAGTTTGGTGGGTTGGGTATAGATACTGCCTACCTAAACTCGATTCAAAATACGTTAATAACCTAAAACCTTGAAAAAAATTACAATTTATACCAAGCTATATATATATTTGAAGATGAAGAAGAAGAAGAAAATTAGGGTTCCTCTCCTACTCGTGATTTACCTTCCTCACTCTCTTTAAAAAACAAAAAGTGCATCTCTGTTGGTGGGAGAAACTATTGGTGATGGCTTTGAAACACTCAGAGGCGATAAAACACTCTTTATTTCAAGAACAATAGCTTACAATGGTTAAAACAAAAGCTTCAATGCACACCCTCTCTCTTTTTCTCTTTCTCTTTGTGTTTCTCTCAATCTCTCCATTCTTAATAACATAAACTCAGCTATCTATTTATACACGAATTCAAAACAAGAAAATTCAACCTTCAAGTGTGAAGGCAGCTGTGGCTGACGGTGTGAAAGTGGTTGGATGGTCGGTGGCTGGATTGTTGGACAATGACAGCTAGTGGTTGTCTTCCTTGACCTTCTAGATTATCTAGATTGAGTTTACTTCAACAAATCTCTCATTTAAACTCAATCGAAGGATGTCATGCCAAGTATGAATTTCAATCTAATAAATACTTCTCTCTTCAATGGCTTTGTAAAGATATCTGCAACTTGATCATTTGTCTTGCAGGATATCAGCTCGACTTCTTTGTTCTTTACATGCTCTCGGATAAAGTGATGACGTGTATCAATGTGTTTACTTCTTTCGTGATACACTGGGTTCTTTGCCAGTGCAATCGCTGATCGATTATCGATATAAATCTCTGTAGGATTTTCTCAAGGAAATCCCAAAAACTTTAGCAAATTCCTTAACCATATTAAATGGCATAC